ATTTTTCTCATCTAGATCTTGTACATTTTTGTTAGATTTGTATCTAAGTGGTTTTTTGAGTACAAATGTAAATAGTGTGTTTTTAATTTCAAATGTCAATTGTTCATTGCTGGCATATAGGAAAGCAATTAGTTTTGTAAACCTTGTATCCTGCAATCTTGCTATAATTACTTATTATTTAGGTTATTAAATATGAAATATCTGATTTCCTGAAGTACTAAGTTTGACAGTTGATATTTCTGACATTTCACTTTGACACTTCTTGTTTTATTTTTATTGTGAAGGTACATCCTCAGTCTTTCAAACACATGGCTTTTGGCTTGTGATTATCTTTAAAAGTTTTTTAGGGCAATTTTTGTGAAACCATGTTAAGTCAAAAATTCATGTTATTTTTGAATGAGTTCCGTGTTGGAACCAATGCAGCACAGACAGCTCAAAATATCAGCAATGTATTTGGGAAGGATGTGGCTAATGAGCACACAGTACATTGATGGTTTGAGAAGTTCTGTTCTGATGATTATAATATTGAAAATGAGCCATGTGGGCAACCCAAGACTAAGGTGGATGATGATGAGCTGAAAGCTGTAGTGGAAGCAAATTCATCTCATCTATGTGTGAATGAGCAGCAAGGTTTGACGTTACTATTCCAACAATATTGGACCATTTGGAACAAACTGGCAAGGTAAAGAAGCTGGATAGATGGGTCCCATGTGAATTCAACGAGCATCAGTAGAGACATCGTCTTGAAGCTTGCCTTTTTTTGCTGTCACAACATAAAGATGAACAATTTCTACCCTGTATTGTTACATGTGATGAAACATGGATTCTTTTCGACAATTGCAAGCATTCAGCACAATGGTTGGGTAAAGATGAAGTGCCAAAACACAGTCCATAACCGAATATTCATCAAAAAAACTAATGGTGTCTGTTTGGTGATCCAGTGCTGGTATTATCCACTACAACTTCATGAAACCTGGTCAATTGATGATAGCGGATGTCTACTGCAACCAATTGTATGAAATGATGAGAATGCTTGTGATTAAGCAGCCGAGACTAGTCAATAGAGACAGGCCAATTCTCTTGCAAGACAACTCTGACCACATGCCACCCAAACAACGCTGTTCAAACTGCAGAGGCCGGACTTGGAAACTCTGTCATCCATCATATTCACCAGACTGTACGTCAACTGACTACCACTTCTTCCAGGCTTCGGATCACTTCTTGCAAGGAAAAATATTCAATTCTCAACAAGCTGTGGAAAACGTCTTTGATGATTTGATTGCCACTCACTCTCCAGGCTTCTTTGCTGCTGGCATAAACAAACTACTGTTAAGATGGCAACACTGTGTGAATAGTTTAGGCCCATACTTCGATTAATTATAATGATTCTTGTCTGAGATATAATAAACTACGCTTTTGATTCAAAATTGGACATTTCATATTTAATGATCTAATAGTTTCAGGAGAGTTTTTGTTGTTGTTTATTCTTTGGGATTTTCTACACAGTTATGTCATCTGTGAACAAAGACAGTTTACTTTTATTTCTTCTTTCTTCTTTATCAATCTGTGCACCTTTTGTTTCCTTTTTTGCCCTTTTGGTCTTGGTTGGATTAGTTAGGACTTCTGGTACAGTATTGAATAGGACTGGTGAGAGGAGACATCTTTGCCTGGTTCTCAGGGAGACAGCATCTAGTTTTTTTGGTTTTTGTTTTTTGGTTTTTTTTGAAGACAGAGTCTCACTCTGTTGCCTAGGCTAGAGTGCCATGGTGTCAGCCTAGCTCACAGCAACCTCAAACTCCTGGGCTCAAGCAATCCTCCTCTCTCAGTCTACCAAGTAGCTGGGACTACAGGCGTGCGCCACCATACCCGGCTAATTTTTTCTATATATTTTTAGTTGGCCAATTAATTTCTTTCTATTTTTAGTAGAGATGGGGTCTCCCTCTTGCTCAGGCTGGTTTCAAACTCCTGACCTTGAGAGATCCTCCCATTTTGGCCTCCCAGAGTGCTAGGATTACAGGCGAGCATCTAGTTTCCTTACAAGCATGATGTTAGATGTAGTTGTTTTGCAGATATTCATTATCAAGTTGAGGAAGTTTCTATTTCTAGTTTGTTGAGGGTTTTAAAATATGAGTACATTTTGGATTTTGTCAAATGCTTTTCTCGATAGATATGATTGTGTGATTTTTTTTCCTTCTATAGCCTGTTGATATGATACATTACATTAATTGATTTTCAAATCAGTTATACCAGATTTGTGTGCCTAGAATAAAACCTACTTAGTTGTGGTGCATAATTCTTTTTATACATTGTTGGATTCCATTTGTTAATATTTTGTTGAGAATTTTTGGATCTATGTTCAAGAGGGATACTAGTCTGTAGTTTTCCTTCCTTTTAATGTGTCTCATTTCTGATATTAGTAATCTGTGTCTTCTCTTTCTTTGTATATCATTAAATTTTAACATGGAATATAGTTTATAAGTGAGAGCAGATATGTTTTCATGTAGCCTGTTTTTTTAAATAAACTATTGATTTATGTACTTTGCCTACTTTTCTATTTTGTTTAAGGCCTATTATATAATAAGATATTAGCTGTTTGACCTCCCATACATGCTTCAAATGTTTTTAATCCAGATTATTATTTTCTATTCATATTTTATATGTAAGTCATTCAGTGTTTTTTAATTATTTCTTCCTTCGCTATTGTGCTAAATAATTCCTAATATTTACTAAGCATTTACGTATGACAGGCACTATATACATAGTGACTTACATGTATTATCTAAATTAAATCTCAAACAATTCTTGTGGTATGTACTATTATCTCCATTTTATGGATCAGAAAACTGAGGCACAAATAGGTTGAGTATCTTGTTACTGACAAGCACATCTAGTAAGTGGCAGAGCCAGGATTTGAAGCTAGTCATTCTAATGCCAGAGACTTAGCCCCTAAGTTCTTCTGCCTTCTAGCAAAGCACTCCCAATTGAAGATGATATTATTTACCTACATTTTTTATGGTTACATATTTTTTAAAAGGTACACACATATGCACTCTACTTTGAAAATATTAAAATATTCAAATTTCATAACATAGAGCTATATGTTATAGTCCTCACAAAGTTAGAAGAATTAATTTATTTTGGAATTGGAATAAATCCAGTTACCTGGTTTGACTGACCTTACAGAAAATTGGACTCATTGAATATTGAAAAGTGTGCGAAGAATTGTAATACAGACAAAGAAAACTAAGAAGTTTTTTTTTTTTTTAAAAAAAAAGCAAGTATTAACTTCAAGAGACAAGCAAATGATTAAAAAAAAGCATAATTATAGTGCACCATAACATTAAATTATGATTACTATCTGCATGGACATAATAAAGTGAACAGTAAATATTTACACATAAAAAGTGAATGGAAGGTAAGTAAATGGAGAACAGAAATAGTTGAAACAGACAATTCTGATGGATTCAGGTATGATTTTCTTAGGTCTTCCTGACTTGGCTCAATATCTGATATCAAATTATACTGGGGCTGCTATGAGCAATCTTCTTGTTTGTGGCTCTTACCGCAACATATTACTTACAGGGACTACACCTTCCTTCATGTAGTACCCATCCCTCCTCTACCCTGTTATCATATTGGTTTGTTGGGAGTTGCCTGTAAATGAATTTAGAAAGATAATCAGAGGAGGAGGGAGGGTAGGCAGAGGGAAAAGGAATAAACTCATAGCCACCTACTAAATGCTTAATTTTCTCATGATCCTCATGTTCTCCCTTGAGACATAGCTCTAACTTTTAGAAATATTTATAAAGACTAATTCCAAGAGACTAAAACAGGCTTCTTTTTCTCTCATACAAGAACACATTTCTTTATGTAACAAGTTAAATACATAACTCTAACAAATAATCCACAATACTCAAAATGAAGACAATAACTTTAAATGGAATTATGAAACAAGATAAATGGCCAGTGCTGTTTTTGAACACAACAATTTCATTTACTATCTGATTTTGCCACATGGCACCTTTCTCTTTCTCATTAAAACCCTGAGCATATATTGCTACTTGGAGCTCCCATCTAAGGGCTGTCCTTTAAATAGCACATGGAACTCCTACCAGTGTGACCTTTCTTCTTGGCAGGTCGTCTGAGAATATTAACTAGAGTACTGTGTCCTGTGGTTCCCAGAAGAGCAGGAGACCTTAATATTTGAGAAGCTTCACTGCTGAAAGTCTAAGTAATCTACCAAAAATGATTGATTTTTCTTTGCTCTAAAGAAGTTTCTCTTGTGTTTGCATTAAGTAGTTATCAAAGGGACATTTATGGCTCTAAACTAGTTCCAGTATCTGTAAAGAGACCCAACCTTGAGAGGAGGCAGGTATCTGTTTGAGGAGCATGGAGGGAAGTTGTCTGAAGGTTGCTGGCAGCAAAGGGCAAGCAGCTGGTCCTGCAGGGAAGTCTTAACACGGCATGACCAAGTGTCCCTACAGGTGGCACAGCACAGCAAAAGTGCAGCAGGAGCATGTGATATTTATTCAAAGACAAGGCAGTAGGCAAGAAACCAGGAATGCAGCTTAGTGAGGACAGGAGCAAAGCAGGGCTCCAGCCCTGGAAAGACTGAACAATGAGATGGGTTAAAACACAACCACAACAACAATACAGGGGAAAAGTGGAGTTACCAGAATGCACTGATGCCCTGAAACTGGTGAAATGCGATCTTAAAACAGATAAACAGCAAACGAGGCTAGAATCTTGGAGACTACTTGGTTGCCTCCTATGCTGTATAAGTCTGGAGTGATATGCAGATCCTCATACCAAAATTGATGTCACAGGGAGGAAATACAATCCTAACTTTCTAGAGAAAGTTTGATTTAAGCTACACAGGGCTGAATGTGCAGATGTCTTTGTCTCTAAGGGTAATTATAAGAAATGCTTTTAATTTATAAAAGTCATTCAGGATTCTTAACCTTTTGTTTTGAGGGTCAGCCAAAATTCCAAGTCCTTACCCTAGCCACTGTTGTCATCCAGGTGACTGAAGGCAATCATGTGGATTACAGTGGTGACTGAGGGGTGAGGAGGAGGTGATGGCCTGGGCAATACCTAGAGTGGAGACATAGGGGGAGGAATTACAAGCAGGGAATTATTACAGAGAATATTTTATGCATTGGCTTGGACAACTGTGTAGAAGATGATGCTAGTTGGGAGTGGGGACAGTCTGATGCCTAGATGCAAAATCTGGTTCCATTCTTTACTTCCTGTGTGAACTTGAGCCAACTACCTGACCTCTCTGAGCCTTTAGTTATAAAACTGAGAATAGTTTCACTTCCCAAAATTGTTGTGAGGACTAAATGAGATACAAATTTGAGAGTTTAGATCTTGGCACATCTATTTTATGTCTACTAATTGCCAAGCCCTAGGGCAAGTGCTGAGAATAATAAGATAAACAGAACACGGCTCTTGAATTCAGTGTTCTCAGTCAGCTGGGCAAAATGTGCAAAAACAATTAACACAATACAATGGGAGAAGTACTGAAACATCAGTGTGCATAAAGTGCTAGGTGAGCCCAGGATAATGCACTCTGCTTGCAAATGTGGAGGCAGGGAAAGTTTCATGTAGATGTGGGGAAAGAGGAATGGATGTTGGAGCTAGGCTGGAATGAATAACTTTACCATAATGTGTTTCCCCTGTGATCTTGGACAAATTAGTGTCTCTGGGCCTCAGTTTCCTTAATTGGGGATAATGATAATACCCATCTTGGGAAGTGATTGTGAGGGCTAAATAGAATAATACATGAAAAATAGTCAGCATAGTACTTGGTACATGGCAAGAACTCCATGGATGTTGACAATTTTATTAGAACTATTACTTTGGAGAATTCTGGGAGTCAGTCAGCTTTCATGGACTCAATGACACACCAAAATCACAGCTAGTTAGTAGCAGAGCCTAGACTAGGATCCAGGCTGCCAACTACATGCTCTAAAGTGAACGTAGAGCTCAATCTCATATCTAAAGGAGTACCCACTTGGATAGAGCTAATCAGTCTGCAGTATATATAAGTTCACTTTGCTTACTGAACATCTCTATATTTTTTTCCAGGCTATGTATTTCAGCCCTCTAAACTGCTTATTTAATTGACTTTCCTATCAAAGGAAAGTGAAAGCAAAAAGAGTAGTTTCTACTTGTAATCAACATACTGCCTATTGTGGTTTAGAAGCTCTTTGCTGGCACTGTGCGAAGAGGCAAAAATTACAAAGCATAGCCGCCATCTTTGTGATAGTCAAAGCAAACCAGTTCTATATGAATAAGAAAATAATAATTCTAGAACAAAGTATAAATATTTCACAGTGATATGGGGTGGGTTGAGCATACAATGGAGACAAAATAAATTGGCATTCTATTGGGCAAGAGCTAATAAGGATGTCAGGAGAGAAACTAATCATTTCTATGGCAAGTGCCATGCTAGATGTTTCATATAGTAAGTATCTGGAGAAAATGATTTCTAAGCCAGCTCTAGAAAATGATAATGAACATGGATTGGCAAAGAGAAAGGTGGGCAGTGGTTCTCATTAGAATAACTAGATCAAAAACAAAACAAAACTATTGTGCCCAGGCCCCACCTCCAGAGATTCTCTTTTAGTTCCAAAGGGACAGGGAGCCTAGATGTCCAACTTTAAGAAAGCTCCCAGGGGATTCTAGTGTGCAATCCAGGCTGGAAACATCTGCTTTAGGGCAAAGACCAGATGATGAATATTTGCTAGTCCTGGGTGGAGAGAGGCAGGCCTGTGACGAATATTTGTTCTTCCTGGTTGTAGTGGAAACATGGATTCTTCTAGTTTGTCTAGGAAGAGAGTAAAGTGAATGCATTGGGTCATGAATATACTGACTTCGCCTGGGCAAAGTCAAGGTAAGGACTTGAGAGGTGGTTCTCTGAGATGTGTGGAATTGCTGAATGCTGATGCTGGGGTATAGAATTAGGAAAAAAACCTAGGGATTTTAAGTAAAAATTGTGTGTGTGTCTCTAAGTAATTTAATCAAATGTATGGAATTGTGAAGCTGGCGGAAGATAAAGGAGTGAAGAAAGTCTGAAAACAGCTCGGGGTCAGTGGGGTTTTCTTGGTAAAAGTTGCTTCAATTCAGCCTCCTTTGTAAATGAGCATTTTTTTTTTTTGAGTCAGGGTCTCACTCTGTTGCTGGAGCTAGAGTGCCATGGCGTCAGCCTAGCTTACAGCAACCTCAAACTCCTGGGCTCAAGCGATCCTTCTGCCTTAGTCTCCCAAGTAGCTGGGACTACAGGCATGTACCTCCATGCCCAGCTAATTTTTTCTATATATTTTTAGTTGGCCAATTAATTTCTTTCTATTTTTAGTAGAGACGGGGGTCTTGCTCTTGCTCAGGCTGGTTTTGAACTCCTGACCTTGAGCAATCCTCCTGCCTCAGCCTCCCAGAGTGCTAGGATTACAGGCGTGAGCCACCACACCTGGCCTGTAAATGAGGCGGGAGTCCTGTAAGCCCATTCATAGCAGCCCTCTGTGTCTGTTGTGAAGATGAAATGAGATGACGCGGAGAAAGCACAGGGTGCTATGCCTGCCACACACAGAGCAGTAAGCATTAGTTAATGATACTGTTGTTTGAAAAGGATAAAGATTCTGTATGTATGCATCACAGGCATCCCAGACTTGGGATTTGGATAGCTGCATATAAAGAGAGTTTCCCTCTGAAACTGGTGTAGGCATAAGGGACCTCGTGTCTCTAGTACAAGAGAATTGAGAGAAAGCACTTCATCCCAATCCTGCCAGGAGCTGGAAGGAAGAAAGGCCTTGAACAGGAGGCCAAAGTGCAGGCATGGAGCCCAAAGGCTGGAGACCAGGGTGAGAGGAAATGGATCAGAACAGATGGAACTGGGGTGACGCTGGGGAGACTAAACCCATTTTGGAGACTAAAGCTCAGAAACTGGGGCTGTAGTGGGACAGGCTTTCATTTATTCTCTCTTATGAACCCACCAGCACAAGGTGGGAGAAGACAGCCTGAAAGATAACTGGATTTTACCAATCTGAGCTGATACACTTTTGCTTTTTGCATGGTAATTCCAACTCAGGATTACATGAGCTAACGCATGTGAAAGTATTTTCTAAATAACAAAATACTATGCAAATAAAATATTATCATTCTTTTTCTGCGCAGGGTTCATACTTAGAGATCCTCTGTAGGTATAAATGATACTGAACTAATTTGTGCATTTTAAGTGTATTGCTTTGAGGTGGTGGTTCTATGGGGCTGAGGAGAAGGGCAGGGTGGGAGGAGCTCTTCTGTAGATCTCAGGCCTGGAGTAACAGAATTTATGCCCAGGGCTTGCAAAACATCACTGGAATCTTCTGCTTGGAAGTTTCAAGGATGCACATTTTGTCATAGATAGAGTTAGATGAAGTGGAAATGCTGAGCCAGAAAGGGACAGAGGATGGGCTTCACAAGTTTGGCTCCTAGTCGATTTTCATTAACCATTTGCTCAAATGAAGACAGATGTGAGAGGGTGATATAGTGCTAAAAAGTGCTAATAAGTCCATGGTGCTATGCTGAAAGTGCTAATAGGGCTTTGCAAGTAAGTCCATGGTGTTTTGAATTTTATGTTACTGACAGCCACTAATGTAGCCTCCAGTGGTGTTTAAGGGCCTGTAAACTACTGAAAATTGAGGAAAGCACTCAGTGGAAATCAACCGAGTGGGGGCAAAACCCTGCCTAATGGGTACAGTGAACACTATTTGGGTGATGGGCACATCTACAGCCGGGACTCAAGCATTACAAAAATGATCCATGTAACCTAAAACATTTGTACCTCCTTAATATTTTGAAATAATAAAATAAAAAGAAATGTGTCTCCAACATCACTCATTTATTAAATAGTCTTTAAAGGAGAACATTTTCATCATGAGAATAATGGTTGCTGTAATGATTCACTTAAGCAAGATTATGGGCTTTTTTCTAAATAGGGCGCCACTATCCAGCTGGGCAGGTTATTCATGGCACAAGAGCGCACAGTAGAGTTGGAGCTGAGATCAGTCTGCCCTCTGCTCACCACGCCATGCACCCTGGTGCGGGGCTGCATCTACTCTGAGGCAGGGACACCTCGTTCTAGTTCACACCAGGGGTAGTGGCTACCCTGTCTCAGAAGGTCTGAAAACACAATGAATGCTTTTCTGCTTAGATAACTTCTCAGGGTTGCAGACTCTGGGTAGGAACGGATAAAATGAGCAATACAATGGAAGCAAAAAAGATCAAACCAATCAAAATGCAAGGTAGAAAAACTGAAAAAGCACAGCAGAGCTGGACGCATCATGAAGAACAATAGGAGGGCTCGAGTATTTTGAATAGACACAGAGAGAAGTTCACAGTGACCTAACCAGCAGCAGAAATGAAAACAGGGCAAAATGCAATGTGGAGGCATTTTGCAGTGAGAAGCAACAAGAGTCTGGCACCTAAATCCAACAACTATGTAACCAGGGTTGACAACAGTCCATGTTACCAGCCACACGTCTATTTTCAGGGAGATCCAGTAAAACGAGCGTTTCCAGTGGTTCTCTATATTCCTTTTCACATCCATTCCAGCCGCCTTCCTCAGCTGCTCTAGCACCGCAGGGAGGCGGATGGCTGCAGCTGTGGTTCCCATTTCAATTGGGGTGATGGATGAAAGCTTCCTTCTCGCATCTGCATCTGTAAGGCCCTGCCACTTGCAGCTCTAACTGCTGAATATTCAGGTGCACACTGAGAAAATGAAGTCCTGAATTCTGAGAAGCAGTTTTGTCCTGAAACTACCGAAGAAATGGCTCAAATTCCTTTCAACTTCCAGGGGAAGCAGAATTGACACATTAGAAAGGGAGATGGCACCACCTAAGCATAGAAGTTCCTAGAGGTAGATTACGTTAGAGCCAGGGATGTTTGTCTTCGGATCACAGCATACCCACTGCCTCCCCACAGGCCGGGAAGCCCCGTGGCCACCCTTTTCCTGGGTTCTTACCCCACAGGGCTTTTGTGTGGGATAGTGTCAGCCCCTGCGAGTTCCAGCTGAAGAATTTATGACATGTTCCCCTTGGAATTAGCCTTTAATT